TAAATCCTTTCTTATTCAACTTTCTTCAGATTGACCCAGTTTTAATATGTCATTTATTTTCTGCTGATATACATATAGTTCCTAAAATATCTTCCAGTTCATCCAAAAACTAAAAGTAATTTGTGACAGCAGACAGAAACTATAAGGGAATCAACCATTATAGCAAACATCAAACCCATGAAACATTTTAGTCAAATGTTTTCTATCATTTATCAAAAAAAAAAATTCTAAAATTTCTCCTATTTGCTCAACAGGCTGAACTAAAATAGGGTCTGTGAAAGCAGTTCATAGTCTGGATTTGTAGGTACTCATCAACCAATTAACCACACACAAAAATATATACAACTTATTAATATACTGTGGTAAATTCCACACAGGGAAGACGTGCCATAGCCGTCTAGGGGTGAGGGAAGTTAAGCCTGTGCACATTGTATTTAAGAGGAGATTTGATGGATTGTAGGCATTAGCTACAAGTAGAGGACTAGAAAGAAAATTCCAGGCAGGGAAAAGATGTGCAAAGATCTGATTGTAGAGTTGAAGAGATCAGAGTCTAAGGATTGAAAGAAGGTTAGTGTGGTCAGAGTTCGGAGAGCAAGTGAGATCATAGTTTTGAACAAGGCTAATGGAGTCAAGGCCAGATCATGGAGGACCTTGTTAATCATATTGAGGATTTTGGTTTGTATCCAAAGAACAGCAGAAAGTCTTATGTCTAAATAAAAGAATTATATGGTTTTTATCTTTAAAAAGTTGTTCTGGCTAAAATGTGGAAATAGATTGAAAGATGGCAAAGTGGACAGGAGCATTAATTAGGAATCTATCCCAGAGGCCCAAATGAGAAATGACAGCTTGAACTAGAGAAACAGTAGAAAAGGTAAAAGAAAGATGATAGATTCGAGATATATTTGGAGGTAAAAATGAGAAGCATTGGTAATTGTCTCAGTTAATTGGGCTGCTGTAACAAAATATCATAATAAAGAGCAAAAAAATTATTTCTGACAGGTCTGGAGGCTAAGAAGTTCAAAATCAGGGAGATGACAGATTCGGTGTCTGGTGAGGTTGTTCTTCCTGATTCATAGACAGAAACTTGGCCTCACCTCCTAATTCTATCGCCTTGGGGGTTCGGACTTCAACATATGAATTTTGGGGTGTTATAATAATTTAGACCATAGCAGTGATGGATTAGATTTAGAGATGAAAGACAGGAAGATGCCACAAAATGCCCTTACGTTTGTGATTGTCTGAGATAGAACAGGTGGCTGTGCCAAGTTACAGAAACTAGATGGAGGCCTAGAGCTCTTAGGTGAATTCTGTATTGGATATACAAACTCATCTGTATGGAGGAATCCATTGACTCCAAGTATATAATTTTGACTCTATAGGAAAAATAGAGAGTGAGAAGAGGACAATACCCTGTGTTGTAGCAATGTATGGTGGCTGAGTAAATGAATATGAACATGCAAATAAGACTGAAAAATAGATACAGAGAGGAAGGAGAGAAAACAACAGTAACATCATGCAAGCTACAAAGAGAGAGTTGTCAACAATAGTTAATATACAAAGAAGCCAAGTAAAATATAAAAGCAACAACAAACATTCTATTTACCAATATTAGGTAGTTGATAAGTGTATTTGTTCATTCTCATGCTGACAATAAACACATACCTGAGACTGGGTAATTTATAAAGTAAAGAAATTTAATTGATTGACAGTTCTGCAGGGATGGGGAAGTCTCAAGAAACTTACAATCGTGTCGGGAAGGGAAGCAAACACATCATTCTTCACATGGCGGTAGCAAGAAGTGCAGAATGAAGAAGGGGAAAGCACTTCATAAAATCATCAGGTCACATGAAAACGAACTCACTTTCAGGAGAACAGCATGGAGGTAACGGTCCTCATGATTCAGTTACCTCACATGACAATGTGGGGATTATGGGAACTACAAGATGAAATTTGGGCAGGGATACAGCTAAACTATATCAATAGGGGAGGTGAAACCAGCTTGAAATTAATGAAAGGTGAAAAAGTAGATCATTTATATAGAACATTTGTTCAGTGGCTTTAGATACTGAAGAGAGAGATGACAGTTTGCATGATAAGTGTTGTGTCATTGAAGGAGGATAATTTTTCTTATGTTTTCCAACTTTTAAGTTCAAGGGATATGTGTGCAGATTTGTTCCATGGGTAAATTGTGTGTTGCAGGAGTTTGGTGTACAGCTTATTTCAACACCCAGGCAATGAGCATAGTACCCAATAAGTACTATATTCACCCTCCTCGCTTTCTTAGGTATTATAGATGCAAAAATTAGACTATGTTCTCTTTCACAATTATACAAACAAAGTTTAATTAAGTACACAAATTTTAAACATTATTATTCCTATTTATTTCAGAAAACATTTAAGCCCTATCTGTCAATCTTTCTATCTGCCGTATATCAACTCTGGAGTCATCTAAAAATGCATAATTCATTCAAAGAATGAATGATTTTGCCCACCAATTATTTTTTTTTATCATAGCTAGCAAAATTAAGAGATGTTATAGAGGAGAAAACTGAACAAATATTAAAATCTGAGGCTCAGAAAAGCATAACTCAAACCTGTTATTCTTATTGCATGTTTCTTTAAACCAGGGAATAGTATCACTGACTCCCGCCTTCTCTCTGGTCCTTTTCTCCATCTAGAAGAGATTATTCTCTAAAGCCTGAAAAAATAGGGACTTGGAAAAAGATATAGGCACACTGTTCCATATTGAGGCTCCTGTCTGGCCATGGTCAGTCCACTGTGGACAGGCACTGTGACTTTGCTTTTCTCTCCAGAAGGGCCACCTCCTCCTCTATCTTTTGACAGTGATTGACAGCTACAACAAGTTGTTGTGTCAAAGCTCCTGCAAGTCAATTATGAAAATGATGTGCACTTGCTTAAAGATGATTGTAAATTGCTTCTGGCTGATCAGAATAATGAGTTGCAGTGATGCTAATCAACATTGGGCATATGTAGTACCTGGTTCCCGCCATCAGGTTTGCAGCTGCAGCTAGTTCACCAAAATGAGAGCGTTTTCATGTTTCTCTTGGGCTGAGGCAGGATGCTCACAATGAAGAAATTAAGAGAAGAGGTGAGGCTGGCCTCAAGGAAAGAAGGTAAAACAAAGCAACAATTATTTTGCACACTCGTATAAACCATATTTTTACCAGTCCCTTATGACTCTGGTTTATGGAAGCAGGAAGGAAGCCAACAGTAGCTAAAGCAAGATCCTTTACATATATTTAATATGTTTTATCACTGAATCTTCACGGAAGCTCTGTGAAGTGACTGTTAGTGAGACTGAAAATTTGTTCATCTATTCTATGAAACTCGCCAGGGTTTCAAAGCCAAGGGGTAGGCAAGGATTTAAATTTCACCTATTTAATTTCAGAGTTCAGTCCATCCTACCAGTATTACCAAAAAAATATTATCTATATAACTTCTGCTTTAAACAATCTCCATGTACTTGTTTAAAGTGCAGCTTCTGTGGCCTCCCCTCACCCATACTGGGTCAGAATCTCTAAGGGATGCATGTCACAGGTTCCAGGAATATATAATTCTAACAAGCAAGTCCAGGTAGTATTCATATACACTGAAGCTTGATAATAATTTCACCTCACCTTGAATATTCATGCTGTCTCTCAAAATCTCAGAGTTCTATAATAATCACCAGAGGTAAGCATTTCAATTCATCACAAAGAATTACTAATTTGAGTTTATTCACTATATGAGAGGTTTTTTTTTTCTTAGAAATCGGAGAAATACCGTTTTAGTTTATTATCGCATACCTTGCAACTTTCCTATCCTGTCCTCTCTTTTACAAATTGCTTTGTATATCAGACTGGGTCTTTCTACTCAGTTTCAATAAAGCTTGGAACAAAATAAGGTGAAATGACCTAAGCAACATCATCATACATTGCAATATGCTTCGTTCAGAAAGTTATAGGTGGAAGAACAGAGTTCTAGAGGTAAAAAAATAAATAGATCTTAACACTGGACTTTTCATTAATTGTTTCTGTAACCTGTTGTCAGTCCCTCTGGTTCATCTTTTGCTAATAATAATAGATATCATAATTTATTAAGCTTACAAAGTTAACTTTTTTTTGTACTTCAGATGAGGCATTTGTTTGCAAAAGCCAATTCAGAAGTTGACATCTCCCCCAATTATTAAACATATCCACTCAATAAACCTGTACATGTTATTCATCATATCATAAAATGGAAACAAATGTACAGGAACCAATGAATGAATGGAAAAGTAAAGAGAGGTATATCTATACAATAGGATAGTATTTGATAGCAAAAAGAGAATGTAGTATGGGTACATGTTAAAACATGGATGAACATTATGCTTAGTCAAAGAAGCTAGTTCTAAAAGACCAAAAATTGTGTGTTTCCATTTATATGAAATACTCAGAATATGCAAAGCTGTAGAGAATTAAAGTAGGTTAGTGGTTGTCTAGTTGGGAGGGGGACAACAGAGTAACTGCTGATGGGTAGGGGATTTCTTTCTGAGATGATAAAAATATTCTAAGATATACTGTGGTGGTGGTTGCACATCTCTACAAATAAACTAAAACTAATTGTACATTTTAAAGAGATGAGTTGTATGACATGTAAACTATATTTCAATAAAGCTAGTTTTAAAAGTAAGGTATGAGAAAATAATAGATTATGCGGAAATTGTGCCCATGTTGTTTTCACTTAAGCAGCTGTTCACAGTTTAGAAGAGTAAGTTTCTATTCTAAAAATAATAAAAATATTCTATTAAAGGGCATCGGCAAGCTCTTTTATTATTTTTAGAATAGAAACTTATCAGAAGAGGAGCAATTACAGTTCTTCTGAATGTTGACATAATTAGAAAGTATGCTAATAAAAACACTGGGGTCATTATATTTGGTTTTGGAATCTAGGCCAGTCAGTATTGGTGTGATGTAAATCGGTTCTGGAATGTCATAATAAAGAAACTGAAGAAGGTAAATCTAGAATGATACTTGCTGGATAGATTGAAAAAGTGAAGCTTTAGCAGCAAGTGGAAAAAGAGAAGCACCAGGTGCAGTAACTCATCCATTGAGTGAAAAGGTTCTTCCCATGTCCCTACTCTCAGAAATGCATTTTGAAATTTGGAAGAAACAAGACGTTACACAAGTACATAGCTTCACTACAAAGGGGAAGGGCAAAATACCATCTTTGATTTAATTCCAGGCTTCAGTCTCTAATTCTGTGGCATGGATAGCTCGTGAATTCTTTGTTCCTCTGCCAAGCTCATCAGGGATAAGTAGCCTTGCTCTGGGAATATGAGTTTGATGATTGAGTTGCATGAACCCTGGAAGCCTGGAATCTTCCTCTGTTTCGATTTGCACATTCCTGTGTGCCTCCTGACTGCAGTACTCCCCAAAGCCACATGGAAAAGCTAAAATCAATTCTGGTAAATCTCATCAACTTGTAGGACACCCCTGTAGATTTCCTTCAGTTTAATCTCTAGCATTAACTGGAAGAAACATTTTCTTATCCAGTCACTGCATTTGTCAAGAAATAATGCTATGGTTGAATGCTGCACTAAATGACAGAGATTAATAGTAGCACAATACTAGATGTTTCTTTGTTTGCTATTCCACTCAATGCCTGATGTAACCTCATGATGCATATGTTGTACCCCCAACTTTAGAAATAAGAAAAGTGAACTTTCGGGAGGTTAAATAACTTCCCTACAGTCACTTAGTTAAGAAATAGAGATGGGAAGAGTTCAGGTCTAGGTTTGTCTGATTGCAAATTCTGTATCCTTTCTATTGTTTTAATCTGTTTGACTTTAAAGGTAAGCTTTATTAATAAGCTCATAACAACGTTAAACTTTCAGAAAGAATCTTAGCAAATTATGGTTCAGATAGCAGGAAGGGCACAAATAAAGGTTTTCACATTGAAAGGAATGCTAACATTGACTAAACACTAATTAGTTGCCAGGTGATTTCACAACGATAACAATTGTGAATGTTAACTTTTGTTTAGGCTACAGATGGGAAAAATGAGGCACAAGATAGCAAATTAACTTGGTAGTGGTCGCTTTTTTGCTAAATGGTATTCTGTCTGTCCCAGGAATCTATGTTCTTTCTATATTCTTGCTGCATGTGTAGAAAATGAAAATATTTGAATGAAAATATTTGAATTGGAAAAGAAAGAATTACAAATCTAAGTAAAGCCACAACAGTTGGTAGGTCACATACTGCTAACCATCTCAAAGGCCAATGTGAGCAGCTTTAATTTTAATTTATAAATACCCTTTGAAAAAATAGAGGGATTTGAGCTGCCAGAGTAGTTAATTTATGTGAGAGTATAAAATTTATGTTGGATTTACTGCCTCCAGGAATTCTGTGAATTTTGTGATGTCGTGCTCCTTGTTATCATTCTTTACATTTCTTTGTAGCAGGTACTGATGTGTTCTAGAGCTGAGTTAAAAGCCACATCCCAGGCCAGGTGCGGTGGCTCATGCCTGTAATCCCAGCACGTTGGGAGGCTGAGGTGGGCCGATCAACTGAGGTCGGGAGTTAGAGATCAGCCTGACC